TAACTATATAATATCAAATGCTTTTATATACAAATTAACTTACGAAAACGTTATATTTGAATATGTTATCTCTATATAGACACCTTTAAAAATATAATTTTCTAGTATTAGGTTCTATCATTTATGACAATTTATGATACATTCATTTACCAAGATGCATCCGTGGTTAATGCGGACAAATATCGCTATAGCAATATAAAAATAAGAGTCGGTTGTCGGTCGGTTATAAAACAGAGTTCTATTTTGACAGGAAAAGTAAGAACGAATGAAAAGTTCGATCTAAAATCACATTCTCCGAGAGTAGGGATATATAAAAGAGAAGAAAACTTTCGACTCCTAGCCCTCGGGATATCGCACTTACATTTAAACCTTCCCTGATCCCTAGAGAACGTCTTTGAACCTTTACTTTGCTTTTGTCCTTCCTTCTTTCCTTGTTGGGAATTTCACGCGGGAAAAGGATACCTGACAAAACGTTAACCACCTTCAACAAGGTTTAAATCTTCTGACATTTTTAATGCAAGTCCTCGTCTGACCTTATTTTCACGTTTTTTATCTTTCTTTCTCTCTCTCTCTCTCTCTCTCTCTCTCTCTCTCTCTCTCTCTCTCTCTCTCTCTCTCTCTCGTCTTGTCTTCTTTTTCCGGATGACGCATGGTCGTGTTGAAAGAAAATGGGATAAGGGGTGCTGAAAAAGCCGGCGTTGCCGAAGCACTCGTACTCAGATTAAGGTTGGATCAGGTTTACTCCAGGAATTCGCGTAATTTTGTGAACTAAAAAAAAACAGAGCTTAGGAGGACATTAAAGGTGTAAAAAAGAAAAAAAGGATACGATAATCTCGTTACGCTAGAAGCCAAAGGGGCAATTATATTTTTTTTAAACTTAATATATAATATAATACATAATCTCCTTTTTAATACGAAAGAGTCGTACATCTCTTTCTCTTGCAGTTTTCTTTTAATACGATAAATAATATCTTTAATAGTCGTAATTTTTCTTTTTATTAATTTACAACTTCTTTCCAACCAACATAATATGCAAACGGATCTTTCAAGATGATGAGTATTATTTCTTTTTCACGATTATATCCGTACGGTTGTCAACAATTTTTCCAAGAATCTCGCTAGAGAGAGACATATATATGTATATATATGTATATCTATTTTTACAGCTCGTTTGCGGTAACATATGTTAAGCCAAAGACCGAGCAAACGTTCCTTTATGTACACAGTGCGTGCACAATGCATTAAATACCGTCCACAGAGAGACATGAAAATTTCGTAAAAGGAGGCGTCAAACTGACGCGATAAAAAAACAAACCTAATTTCTAATGCCTTATCGGACAAATGCTTTCCCCTTTCTCGTGAAAATAATAATATAATATATTATTGTAATTATTTAACGATATCACGATAAGCGATAATATCGATTAAAATCAATAAATTGAATGACGAACAAAGTGATTAAACATTAGAAAGGATATCGATCGAGTCATTTTTATAAATATAAGATATAATGTAAGTATATAAACGTATACTTAAATCCTTCGTAAAATTTGCACTTTTCAGAAGTTTCCTATTTCCGTTTGGTATAAATTATTGGAATAGATAGTCGTCTAGGAGAAAATGAAATAATTAGGTTCGATCATTGCTGCGTAAGTGAATCGGCACAGAAAGTTTCAGTTAAATTATTTCAATCGAATTATGATTATCACGTTGAGTCCCCGTTCATCGACGCGTTAGGAATTCTCTGCCCTTCCGTTCGTCTGTTTTTTTCCCCCTTTCCTCTCCCAATCATCGGAGATAGTAGTAAGTAGACTTTTAACGAGGAGCAAAGTATACGATTGGCAATAAAATTCTCCTACAAACTTTACTACTTTCCGATCTATCACTCTCTCTCTCTCTCTCTCTCTCTTCTAACTACGACCATTCCTCTTTTTAACGTTATGGACAAGAATATCGTTCGGACTGATCGTCTTATATTTTTATAACTTTGAAAGGATAATGGTTATTTAAGTTTGTAGTGCTCGGTTAAACCGATACAACAGAGGATTCGATCAATATCGAAACGGGTCGTTCAAGAAGTGGCTGCGTGTCGTCGCAATTTGAAATGCATTTTTTTTTGGGGGGGGGGATAATCGAACGAAAATCGTATCATACAGTTTGCGTATTTTTACGTAAAAAAAAAAAAAAAAAGGAAAGATTCATCATCATTCTCGGTTCGTGAATAAATTTGTCGAATCGGATATAATATCGTGAAACATTTGTCGCCGGGAACGGAAACGCAAAGATTTTAAAAAGGCAATGGCGGGACGCCTTGGGGTCACTTTAAATTTAGATCCTTAGGGAGAAACGATGCTTGCAGCTCTGCCGGTGGTGGTAGAGACTCTTTTTAAACATTCATTCGTCTCGATTAGATACCACAAGGCTGACGTCAGTGTTTGTAACTCTCAGAAATAACTGTTAGCGTGAAATCTCTGACATTTTTTTTTTCCTTTCGACCGGTCTTGATTCACGGTCGAACAAAACGGTGCATTGTGCGTTCGATTAAATGCGATATTAGCTATTATACCGAACAAATTCAGACAAAAAAAATGTTACTTTCGATATATAGCAAATCATGATTTCGAAGATTTTTTGATGAAACATTGAGAGATAAAAGGCGTATGATATCTAGAAAATGAATAAGCCCTCGAAAAATGGGCACATTACTTAATTAAAATGCGGAAAACTCTTAATTTCGCACTTTAACGGATCACCATAATTAATCTCTACATTACCTAGATAATCTGCAGAATAAAACTGATTTCTGCCATTTAGCGGTAACACGTATACGTCTACGTTGATAAATACGAGTTTCCTCGTTGAAAAATCATCGGCAACGTCGGAACTGATTTAATGGGGGGAAAGGGGATTAATTTCTCATCTCCCGTTTTTTCATGGGGGAGGTATCATGCAAATCTTTAGCTCGAATCCCATCGAGACATCGACTTTTTCCTCGTCTCTTTTTTTTTCGTTTCATTAATCGCTATCAGAAAATCAATTCCTTTGCAAATATCGCAAACGTGTTCCAATGATTTGGAGAAAACAATAATCAATTATATTCCGGATTTTGCATTGTCTTCCTCAAGCCCGTCATAATTGTCCGTCAAAAATTTTCATTTCGATATTCGAGCCTCACTCGAACCACCCTTCAAAATCAGACCTGTCTTTCTAAACGTATACTACATAAACGGATATACGCACGATCAAGAGGGAGAGGGAGCGAAGAGGGGATGGACGGGTGGCGGTGCTCCCACCCTTTGGGTAAAGAGAAAATCCACAATCGTTGGTAAATATCCTAATGTTTGCATTGTGCACGAAACATTATACATATTAGTTTGCGGTTGCAGATACGAAAAGCAATTTTTGCAATTTCGTTTCTCGCATGCAAAATATTATTTATAAATCTGACTAACGCGATATGAAATGATTTTTCCTTGAAATGTGCTGCATGTTTGACGTATCTTTCGACTCGCATTAGTTAGCGAGAAACAGTATCAGCTTTTTAGAAAATTTGTAGAAGTTATCAGCTTTTTAGAAAATTTTCGTTGATAATATCGCGAACGATTTTTCAAAATATTTCTATATATGTTGTGATCTAATTGTGAGCTCGAATTATTCGTCATTGGTTTTTCAACGATCGTATATCAAATTTAATTGCGCTTGATCGGTAGCGCGTGCTTACCGATCACCACCCTGATTTACACCAACTTTGACACAGCTTAACGTCGATTATGATGATTGCGAATAGACAAAAGGACAGATAGACAGATAGATATATAGATAGATAGATAGATAGTCTATTGAAACGTAGGTCAAATATTCTCTGCAGAATAACCGCATGATCTCTAATTTGATAGCTATACCTACTCGTATAAATAAAATAGAATAATATAGCTCGAAGTGAAACTTTAAATTGGAAGCATTAGAATTTAAAAGAAATCTTTGATAAAAATAACAAGTTGTAAGCATTTGAAGATAGAAAAGAGAGTAGGTATAGATAATATATGGATGATAAATATTAAGAAAATGTATGCAAAGGGTTATTGGCGTTTAATTGGCATGAAAAATTAGGGATAACCGTATGAAGAACGTTGTTCTTGATTGTTGCTCTATGAACTCTTGCAAATACGTGTCTCTCTTTATACAGAAATCTTAGATACAAAGAGGCGATATAAGAAGCATAGTGCAAGGATAAAATGTTGTTAGTCTTATCGATTATGTTCATAGTACATTATCGATCGTTTAACTCTAGCGAATACTTCCGTTAGGCGCCTTCAAGTCTGATGCTAGGAGACATCCTATTAATTTTATATTCTATTCGCGTAACCTAGCGAAAAGAAGGATCGTCACTAGCAATGTTCGCCACGTGTTGCCTTGATCGTTTTACGAGAAGAACGTGTTGTTAGGACGTTAAAATCTTCATTAATAACTCGATTGATGAATGAAAGAAAGATGTTTATTTATTTAAATGCTTCGCAAATTACTGGGTACTATCTTATTTCCACGTATTGCCATTATCTGTATACATTTATCGCAAATTGACACGATTTTGTATAAAATTTAATTTACCGAATGAACACGTCCAATGACATCATCATCATCTTTGATATTCCATTCGCATAAAGACTCTTACTCATAGGGACAAATGACACAACGATGTCTGTGTTCATTCGACGATGCATATGTACAAGTATCTCGTATAACAAAATGATTCTCGTCGACATTCCTAACCGAAAACGTAATGCAATATATATTGCAAAGTTCTACTTTTATAGAGATCTAAAAACGAAACGAAATCAAACCTAACGATACGATATATTCTTATTATTAATTCAATCCTTCGTCTAACTATCAAACTTATGCATAAGTTCTTGATAGGGATGTGTATTATTTATGAGAGGTTAAGATCTTAAACTAGTATTACTCGATCGTGTACTAATTGAAAAAAATACATTTTACAGAAGTGTAGCAGCATGGTATGATAAAGCGAGCCTGAAGATTCTCCCCCTGAAAATGAAGAAGCCTCATATCTTGACGTACCTGGTCATCCTACCTCTAGTGCTGGGATTTACCTTGCAAGAGGACGACCTTGTCTTCGACGATGTCGGCGAGGAAACAAGCAGTACTCCTTCGATCGAGAGACACATTGAAGATAATAGTAGAAACGCGATAGAACGGGATAAAAAATTGGCAAAAGATACTACAAAGAAACATCATCGGGTCGAGAGATTATGGAATATCCCGGATGTTGTTGTTCCAGTGGGTCACGTTTTCAAGTTAAGGATCACGAGACAAGCTTTCGATGGTAGCGTAGATCGTTACGAGGTGAGTGGACTCGTATCACCACTCTTACATCATATCTTTCCGTTTCACTTCCTATCTTCCTGGACAAATGCCAAAGACACTCTTGAACACCGATTCAGGATACCGTTCAACGAGTTCAAAAGTTTACTTATCCAACTATTTAACTTGAAAGATCCACCGTTTGCGATCCAATTTGAGGTCCCCTTTTGTTTACCACGCATACTTGATTCTACTTTAGCAAAGAAATATTCCATCGAATTGTCACGTGTTTAGATACACGAGGCAAATGGAGAAAGGTTGCCCCGTTGGTTGTACTGGGACGATGCTGCTTCCACTCTTCTTGGTGTTCCATCGAAGAAGGACGTCGGCAATCATCATTTAATCGTCAAGGCTATTGGAAAATACGGCGACAACGCCAAGGACACTTTCGTCGTTCAGGTTGTCCCGGAAAAACGCGAGGAAGTTAAGCATAAAGATGGCAAGGTAATAATTGACATTGGTTTTACAGATTTTTCTCTCTCGTTCTTTAGTCTTTTCTGATGTTAACTACGTGTCGAGCACTCTACGTGTCGAACACTCTACGTGTCGAACACTCCACGTGGTTGCTCGAAAACATTTTCTTGGCAACGTTTCAAGCGTTTTACGTCCAGCTACCACAACAGGTACCTATCCGCGAGTTTCTAGGTCAAGTTTTGAAGCCGAACGAAAGATAATGATATGCTTTTAAGGCAAATTCGCCCACGATACTTCTCCTTTTGATCGTTTCAATTAATGCTATCATTAAACTTGGACGGACACTGATGTAAGTGAACTTTACAGCTCGATTACCTTCATTTATGTTAACTATTATGTTTACCAACGCGCCATTAAAATAACTGAAACGCCACTGAAGAACTTGATATGTTATTTGTACTGTTCAATTTGCCCTATAGAAATTATGCCAGAGACGATGAAATTATGAAATAAAAATAAACTGATGACAAATAACAAAGGCAATTATTTGATAGGAAAATGTGATGTAAAATACAAGGTAGTTTTTTTTAAATGTACAAATGTTCTTTGTTAATTTATCGCTATCTAGCTACCGATACGCATGCTCGCACAATACTCTATGGGATATCGAGTGTCAATATTATCGTACTAAAATGTATATTCCGTCGTTCCATTGCAACGACGAGATATTGCTACATTTAAATCTCGTGAAGGAATTAGTTTCGTAGACGGTGTAACTGATTGATGCCAATTGATATTGTCATGCGTCAGCAACTTACGAGTAAGCTTTCACAAGTGTCCAACGACCCTAATTCTTTAGGTTTCATTTGCAAGGGTCGTATAAACGAAAGGCTTACAATGCGAGCATATTAAAACGATTATTTCTTATTTTAGACTCACTGTAAAGAAGGAGAAGACCAGACGTTGCTAACGATTTTGTTGGATGTCAAGTTTGAGAATCTCACACCGTCCGTTAAAGTAAATGCGATCGAGAACCTTGCTGGATTTTTGGGACTTCACAACGTTAGTATTCTCCCAACAACGCGTCGTGAAACTCTTATTAATCGGTTGTTTTCTAAAGATTGAACGATATTATTTTTCTTTAGAGCGCATTTTCAATGCATCCACAAAGTGGCAAACTCGAGAACACGAATCCTGATTCTCTGGTTATATTTAGTGGGCCTGGGAACGTTAAATATCGCACCGAGAAACATCTAACGACTATCCAATGGCAGGTAAAGTTTAGTTAGTCATAACGATCATCAAAAGTAAGATCTCGTAAAACGACACAGCGTGTTTCGACTTTTGCTTCAGGTTGGGTGCGACGGTCATTTATGGAGGCATCAAACGGATTTGGTTAAACAATTGCGAGATCAGGCGAAAGATGGGACCCTAGCGGAAGTTCTTCAACTTCCAGTACTATTGTGGCGCGTTAAGACTGACTCGACTTCTCTATCTAGAAACCGTAGAGAAGTCGGATCTGGTGATTTTGAAACGGACGATTACGAAGGTTACGATTACGACGATGACGAGTATGGGGAAGACGAGGATGGTGGTGACGATAACGAAGCGATCACGGAATCACCCTTGCAGCCAACTTTGTTTGTGCCAAATGCTAACTCGAGAGGAAACACCGAATTGTTGGAACATCCACATAGACATCATCATGGAGAAGAAACATTAGATTTGGGCGTACGAAACGAATTAATAAATCTATACTTTTGAATAATGCTAATCGTTGATCGATTAAATGTTTCAATGCTCTCGTTTGTTAACAGAACGAAGAAGAAGTTGACGAACGAGAAATCATCCCGTATCTCGATCGAGAATCTAACGCCTCGTTAGGTGTTTCTTCTACCGTAAGTATTGTCCCGGAAAATCAATTTATTTGAAAAAAAAAAAAACAAAAAAATAGCTCATTTACAAATGTGTAAAATGTGTCGCTAGATTAGACCTTTATCGAAAATTCTCATTTCTCGTCTACGCTCATTTGCTGTGCCATTGCTTTCAAGGGATCACCGTGCTTAAAAATGTTTTTTTTTTTTTTTTTACGTCTCTCACATAGAAGATAGTTCAAGTGATCGTGTACAGTATTGTCGCACAGTACAGTAGCTAAGCTATCTCGATAGACACACTCTGACGATGTAGGTTAATATTATAATTAAGACTCGAGCATATAGCATATGTCTATATTTTGCAACGAGATATCTTATTTAAGTATTTTAGCATACACTTTCGCGCTTTCCCTCTAATGTAACTAACAAAGTTTTTCGTGCCTTACGTCGCATCTACTAACGATTTCGCAGACAACAACCACCCAAATTACACCGTCATCAACTACAACAACCACAACCATGCCAACTACGACTACTTCAACTACAACGACTCAAGCTACGACAATGCCCACGAGTACAACTACTACTCCGAATACTACAACAACTACTACTACTACTACTACAACTACAACTAGCATGACCACGACAAGTACAATAGCAGATACAACAATAACTACCACTTCGAGCACCGTCGTTCCATCAACAGAATCTACCAAGGTGGATATCCTGGAAGAGTCCGGAGAAAATACAGAACGCGTGGACGTGGAATCCGTTACCCTGTTACCCACAATATCTCCCGAAATCACTACCACTCTATCATCGATTACTACGCTTCAATTTAATACAACAGCTGCTTCAAGCAGCGCTACCGGAAAAGCAGAAACAGAAGTTACCACTGTTCTTGCTAACGTTACGTTCGAAGAGGTAATGCTTCTACGCTTCATGCTTTACATTTGTATGATAGTCCATTTTCAACTCCTATTTCGATTACTGCCTCGTCTGCATCAAATATTCACAAATTTCCTGCTTACTCGCATTACGTCGTCGTCGTCGTCGTCATCGTCGTCGTCGTCGTCGTCAGGTGTAAAATAGTTTCGAGTTTTCAAAAGAAATTATATCATTTTTCTTTATCTATTATTGCTCTATTGAGGAAATTGATCAAGGTTTATCAATTTAAAGTATACTCTATTATTCTATCACCCTATTACATTTATTCGATTTCTACTTAGCCCACGTATGGAACGACAGTACCTGCAACGCACCAACCAACAACGACCCCGATTACGTCATCTACTACTGTTAGTAGTACAAGTGTCCCTACAACTATCCCACCCACGCAACCTGCTACGGTATCTTCTACTATTAACACAACATTAGAAATACATGCAACACCAACGACTACGAGTACATCATCCACTGTTTCTGCCGTTGCTGCTGCTGCTAATACTACTACTACTACTACTGCTACTTCTACTACTACTAGCGCTACTACCACCACTACGACGCCTCAACCGACTACGATCTTTACGATACCACCAACAACAGAGAATATTCTACTTCCGGTTAACAATTTACCACCCAAAAAGGACAGAAGGTTGAAGAAACTTCGAGTCGTTGCTGGCAAACCATTAAGTTACGTTATACCTGCTGACACCTTCAGTGATACCGAGGATGGAAATACGAGAGATCTCAAATTGAGTCTATATCTGCAAGGTGTACCGATCAAACCTACCAACTGGCTTCAATTCAATCCTCGTACTCAAGAAGTCTATGGACTGTAAGTACACGATTACTAGAATTTGATCAAACTTCACATTATTTCAATAATTTCGTTGATACAGACCTCTAGAAAACGACATTTCTACATGGACATATGAATTGGTGGCCACAGATAGCGGCGGACTAAATATTTCCGACATTTTAGATGTTCACGTTCAACAGCACAGATTAAGTCGCATCGTCAATCATGAATTTAGTATTTATCTGAAAATAGATAAGCGCAATCGTTTTCCAACCGACGTTGATTGGGAATTACAGGTATTAATATGATAGACAATATTTTCTATTTATACTAATGTACAAAACGATTTAACTGTTAATTTGTTATTTAAGGTAATCGGAAGTTTGGCTGAATTGTACGGCGACGCAGATCCACAATATATAACGGTACGAGCAATCGACATTGATCACGATCAAGCTATTTTCACTTGGATGAACGACACCTTCCCCCGGAGTAGCGAGTGTCCCAAAGATCATATAAATGAACTGTTACGCGTATGTATCAGAGATATTTTATACAAAATATAACGGCAATTCAATTCTTTATTGGCATCTCGAATATTATATTACTATTCTCCTCTGTCTTTATAGATTTTAATCGATAAGGATGGCGACCCTAGTCCCTTATTGAGAGGAGCTTTGGCATCCGAAATAAGAGTTAAGCGTGTCGTTTTCCAAGGAATTGGTCAATGCGAGGATATGAATCAATCGGCGGGAATACCTAAAATTCATACCGAAGAACCCAAAGTGAACTTCCCTCCTGTTCCAAGAAATCAAGTGGATCATGTCAATGCCACCGTAGGACAGTTGCTCGTGTTCAAAGTCCCAGAAGTACGTATATTTCTTCCATCTCTTTTAATATATATATATATTAAATAAAATGAATTTATTGTACATTTCTACAGGACACATTCTTCGATGCAGAGGATGGATCTTCTCGTAATATGAAAATGTCTCTATTAACGATTGACCGTACACCTATTCCAACCAACGAATGGTTACAATTTGATAGTAAAAATCAAGAATTTTATGGTGTACCTTTGCAAAATGACGCAGGTCGAAAGGAATATCAATTGGTCGTGACAGATAGAGAAGGTAATTAGAAATATTAAATGTATATAATAACGAAGGATGAAAGGAATCGAAAATAAAAAATAATTCATTAAACTTGGCTCGCGATTTTGATTGATTCCAGGTGCTAGTGCTACAGATGGTTTAGTAGTTGTCGTACATCCAGCTCCCCCCATGGCGCATACGGTTGAGTTTTCGATGACTCTGGATATACCATACGAGTCATTTGCTCATTCAGCAATGCAAAAACGTGATTTTATAGAAAAATTACGCGACTTGTACAACGATCGTGATACCAGTGCTATCTCATTGCACAGCATTTCGAACGGCAGTACCGTCATTACGTGGCACAATAGAACATTACCAACAACTTATTGCGCTCACGAAGAAGTTGGTAGATTACGAGCGGTATTAGTAAAAAGTGACAATGATAGGAGATCGGTGACAGACGAGGTCTTGGACGTGATGGGTGCAAAGTTTCCGGTTAAGCAAATAACCGTAATACCAATGGGAATATGTCGCGGTGAATTGACGGGCGTTCATTCTCCGGATGGTAACGTTCCACCCGTCGACGATTCCACTTCTGTCGGAGCATTTCACGATGATTATCTCATCACCTTCGTTCTTCCTGCAATAATAGTAGCAGCTATGCTCATTTTCGCTGGTGTCATAGCTTGCATACTTTACAAACGAAGACGCAGCGGGAAGATGAGCGTTAGCGAACAGGACGACGAGCGACAGAGTTTTCGTAGCAAAGGAATACCCGTAATATTTCAAGACGAGCTCGATGAGAAACCAGATCCAGGTACACGTTAAGTTAACAAATTCTACTTTTTATTTTCTATTTTATCTGTGTGATAACCTATTTGTTTAATCTATGATATATCAGGCAACAAGTCGCCCGTTATCCTGAAGGAAGAGAAACCACCCCTTCCACCCCCGGAATATCAAAAAAGCGAAGACGGCGCTGACGTACCAATGTTACCAAAAGAAAATTCCGAGGAGCCTTACCAACCGCCACCGCCGTTCGCGACAAATCGCGATACGAATCGACAAAATCGTCCAAAGCCTACGCCGACGTACAGAAAACCGCCCCCGTACGTGCCTCCCTAACAAAATGCAGTGCACTCGCCTACGCGCAAATATATGTTAGCTATGCTCGGAGATGCATCACCGATACACGTGCAAAAGCAAAAGGATTCTTACAAGAAATCTCAGTTTGGCGGAAACGTTGAAAATTACGGGGCTCTAAACGTTTACAGCGATCACTGAACTTGAACTTTTCTTGCACGAGGTATCACATAAGAACCTGAAAGATTTCTTCGCGAGAAGTATCTACTTGCACGTTTTTACTTATTACGTTTATACTACGGACAAATGGATTGTCACTATAACTACAAGTTTAAACTGAAACGTTGGCCTTACGTTTAACATGAACTTTAAGAACAAACTTTTATAACCTCCATTAACATATTTCATTGAATCTTCTTTTCTATTTCATTTATCGAAAAAGTATTTTTTAAGGAGTATGGAATACAAATCACACGTTGCCTTTCGTAACGAATTCAAACTGTAGAGAAGGATTCACTGCTCCGATTGAAAGAGTAAATTTAGTTTAGATCATTGTAGAAGCAGCAGCAGCAACAGCAGCAACAGTGATAGGACGACGACAAGGTATACTTTTATTCGAAATAATGCTCAAGAGACAGCAACGACTTTCGTATTTTAGTAATCAGTACCATTTTTCTAAGCAATAAGCGTACAAGTCTATCGCGTACTTGCGCCTATTAGATCTACGGCTTATTGCCCTAATATACCTTGACAAATCGATCAAGTTTCTTCAAGAAGTATTCGATAACTCTAAGGAAACTTTTAATCGTATCTGCAACATATAACACTGCCAGAAAAGTACTACAGTCGTTATACTAACGATGTATAGCCGGTGATTTAAAGCGTCAGTTTAACGAACCGACTTTTCGTTCATTAACTTTAACATCATTAAGATTTAATCGAACTGGCGCTTAGCGGAATCATCGTTGTTTTGATAAATAAATGTCCCAGATGAAGAAAAACCGATGAGCCCTTGATAAAAAATTTGCAAATATTGGTGATTCGTGCAATGCCATTGAAAAGTGACAGCAAAATGCTTCCATTGGCGCCGTAGGCCATTCAGATTAAAGACAAAATATTAAAATATAATAATAATAATATTAATAATAATAATAATATATATATATATATATATATATAAATATAAATATGTATATGTATATTATATACACCTATTTGCTGTTCGATAGACATTGTCTGTGAGGTATTTAAAGCAAAGATATTTAAATACTGCCGGACAAGCGTCGTAGCAATTACGTTCTTTACGTGTAAAATTAAGCATCGGTCCTACTTTTTCTTCTTTTTCACGCACAATTCGTGGCAACGACGTTTTTTGGGAACAAATTGTACAATTATCGCCGAAGATAAGTTTAACTCTGCCTTTTCATTTCGCCAAATTTCTATTACAATCAATTTTCACGATGTATTTAGATCAACGTTAACGAATGATTTTAACATTGATTTAAATACCAACGCATTCATACACAAATAATATACCTTATATAATTTAGATATTACATAGTTACCAAGCCAAAAAATAATTAATATTTAACAAATGGGGAATGAGATTAAATAGTTAGCGCTAAAAGAAGAAGAAAAGAAAAGAAAAAAAAAAAAACAGAAAAAAATTAACGAAAAAGAGAACGGAGAAAAATCAACAATGTCACTAAAAAAAAGAAAACGTTATTCGGAACGTGTTCGGAAGCTTGTTGTTCAAGGAGAAGTTTGTTTTATAATCATTTTTGTAATATTTTAGCGTAACGCTAAACATCAATGCTAATAATTTAACGTGCGGGACGCGATAAACGGGTAAAATGTCTAACGCGTATCAGCCGTGTTTCTTCGATACCTCGATACTTTTTCCTGATATTTTTGAAAAGGAAATGTAAGAAACGATTTATAAAAAAAAAAAAAGGAAAAATAAGAAGAATGAAAGAGAGCGGAAAGAACAAAGAAAAAAAAAACAAAGTATCTGTGCAACCTCGAAATTGAAGGTTTCGTCTTTTATTCGTCTCATTACCGACAGACGGACGGACAGACGAACAGACCCCCTGACGCAATCCTAACGAAATCGCTAATACTGGGTGAAACTCCTATGAAAGTCGTGTGAATGGTAATAACTATTGTATGTAACATAGCAGATGGATGTTTCGTATGCAAGCTAAATTACTTGAATAATATATATATAGATATATTATGTCTATATATATATTATCTATTAATTCGCGTCTCTGTAAACTCTGAGAGTTGATAACATGACGATCGAGTCCTTTTCATTATCTCTTGTTTATCGCAGAAAAACTTTTTACTAATTTTTTACTACGTGTACGCAGTCAAGATACTAGGCTGATGTATTTCGTTCGTTTAAGAAGCCTCACATACATATACACAGACACAAACACAAGTAGTTTATTTTTCTATTTTTTATTTCCTTTCTACTATTCCTTATTTCTTTATTCTATAATAAAAGTTAGTTTTGATAGCAGACAAATGATTATCTACCGACGCTTAATTATTGATACGTTTTTATGAATTAGGAAGTAAGAGAGTGAAGGCGCAGTATGTAAGTATGTACTTTTCTTGTATTTTAATCAGATAATGAAAAACATAAGAAAAAAATAAAAATTCTCGTTTAATTCGCTGAAGCGAATTTATCTTTTCGCAAGCTGCGATAAACAAGTTCTTTTCATATCATGCTTTTAATCATATCATCGCTCGTGCGTCTTCTTTAAACTCCACATCTTATTATTGTGAAAATGGAGATTATGTATAATAGTCGTGTACAATATCATCATACGTACATATGTATATGACAAGATACGATGCGATTTGAAAGCCGGGAGATATTCGTTTGCAAGGAATTCTATCGAAAATCTAGGTCCACCACCGAGTTCAAGGACTTCATTTACGGAATACGTGTATATCTTCGAAATATTTTATAATTGTATAAAGGATACGAGCAAAATGTGAAAAAGCAAATAGACGAAGGAGATATACTAACGTAAAATAAGTATATGAGAAAAATTTCATCGTCATTTTCGTATTTGAAATATGCGAGAGGGTTAAGAGAGTGTAAAATGATTTATCGATTGGACGCACTAAATTCATGCAAAATTATTATTTGCCAAGAGAAGAGAAAAAAAATGACAAGTTTATTACACTATCGTATCGTCCATACGAGATTTACACAATTTATATATATATATATATATTTAGATATAGAGTTAACGGCAGGTTCAACGATATTTTCATCTGCAAGATAAACGTCATTGCGTCGGTGTATTTTTCGCTAAGCGAAACAAAGAAAAATATTCATTTGAATTTGAAACACACATTTGGGAAATAACGAGGAGGGTTAGATAATCGCGTGAAGAGAGATTTTTTAGTATTTTAGGATGTTTTCGAAATGATTTTAAGCCTACGTGCGTAGTCAAGCACGCTCGTCGAGGATGAATGAATGGAATATTGAAACAATGATATACTCTTACGGAATGTATCTATGGCAAGTACTACATATTAAACACGTGTAAGGTTACGAGTTAATAAAAAGCCATTTTAGGGTACAACGTGTGCGTCCTTTGTACTTGTCTTAAGTTTTAAGCTTTTTCGTAGAGATGTACGAAGAAAAATCCTTTGGGTAAGATGCATTTGAACCTGTAACATCGAGGAAGGGAAACGAAATCGTGACTATAAAAATGATCCTTTTAAAAAAAAAAAAACAACATACGAATAGGAAGGAATGAGCGAGAGTCACGCGAAAAAAATCGATCGTTATACTTCGAAAGTCGAGCGGGCTACGTTTAAAGCATAATTACTATATAGACACGACTTGTCTCCTTTTTGTATCATTAAAATGTAAGTTCTCGCGTCGTTTTCATCAAGGTATCCAAATACATTATGTTTTTATGAAATTCGTATTACTCGATAATTTCCCGAACTATATAAGCTAATTTATTTTTCTTTCCGAGTCAGATTATTATACGATCGCGATAACGTAACCACGATTATACGACATTTTTGAATTTATTTGATTATGTAAGGTGCTCATGTCTGTCGGTGCTAGAATACAATTTCTTATTGACACGGTTGCATGTATTTCGGATTGAAATGCAGACCGAAGCTAACAATTTCTGGACGAAGGCGATGCGACGACGTTCGGTCGTTTGCGTCAGTTGCCACAAATGAATAAATTTCATATTTTACCATTTTTTGCTGACTTTGAACAATTTTCAAAAGATGCGAGTATATATGTACGTTATATCTAACCGTCCAAAACAAGGAAAACGTTTTTTACGATATAAATTCATTTATTATAAATCCAGAAACATTGGTGCACAAAAGAATACAACTGTTTGTTTATTCACCACAGATACTGTCTGATAAAATTATATCAACGAGTAGTTGTACAGCAGGTAAGTACGTTTTATATTGATTAAATTGAGAAAATTGGGAGAACATTCGAATTTCGATAAACTCGAAATAACTGGAGATTTGCGGATGTTTTGAGATAGAAATTAATAGAATTCATGAATTTTTTATTGGTAGAGTCGATTCATTTTATTGATATATAATGGAGGCAGAACGATGACGTTTATGAAGCACGTTCTATGACATAACTTTATCGTGACAAATATTACCAGACGTTTAATAAGAAGAAAGAAAGATGCGTACTTCCTCGAAGAACAGAAGAGTGTTTTCCTTTTACCGTTCTTTTCTTCGACATAAAGAACAGATCACGACCAGCTGCTTTTCTTTATATTATATTTATACCGAGGTCTGGCGAAGAGTTAGTTGTAAACTATCGCAGGATAATTAAAAGTAGTCGTCTGTTATTAACACTTGTTAGATATTTTTTTCCAAGATACTCAATTGAAAGATATTTAGCGTGTAACAATAGACATAAATGCTATCAACATGTGTGGACAATTAATAACGAGTAATTCATGAAAATAATGCTTATTTTTTTGACAAAAGGTAGTTCCCTTATGCTTACAGACAAATATTCTATAAAAGGGAAAGAAAAAAAACAAGCACTTTCCTCGTTTTATGTACGCGCGCTCGACAAGCCCCATTAGAGTGGGGGTAAAGCTGCACGTGTTATACTATAATGCGCATGCGCGTGGGAGTGAGTGTCGGTCACATGACCGCGCGCGTTATAAACCATAGGGACGCGCTGCCGGCCGGCATTACATTCGTGGAAATTCTCGTGTAAGAAGTGGACACGACACACACACGGTCGTTGTTGAGTCGGAACGAGTTGGAACGAGTTGGAACGAAAGGCATCCATCCATCCAATAGAGACTGATGAGAAAGAAAGAACAATAGGTCTGCTATTGAGAAGAACGAAAACGATTCCGAAAATTGTACACTCACAATCAGTCGATTTTCCAATTCAACTCCTTTACGGACAAAAAGATTCGAGCTTTCCGTAGTTTATTTACATTTACTTTGACCCGTGACGTTGCACGCACGCACGCACACACTCTCGACCGTTCCAATTCCCTTCTCTATTTTTCTCTCTTTTTCCGTCAACCATTTCAAATTCTTCGGGTCGAAATATTTCTTTCCGAAATTTTGAGAAAGCAGGAAGGTGGCGCGTTGTTTGATCTAACAAAAGAGAAGTTCAAATCGACAAAACGAGCGGGACCAAGTTATACTCGGATCTCAACTACGCGGATCTAAATTTCCAATTCATCTATAGTCCTTATCATCCGCGATGGGTTCCAAGAACGAATGGGACTACTCGACTCGAAACGGTAAGTTTCATATTAGTTATTTTTTGTCCCTTATATTTTCTTACCTCTTTCACGAAGAAAAAGGAGAATGTAGTACTTTCTCTTAGAATTTCCTTTCATTGTCGGTCGGTTTTGTATTTGAAAAGCGATAAATGAAAAACATCTGTTGCTGTTGCTGCTGCTGTGATAGCGAAAAGGTGGGCATTATATTCTACTCTATTTAAATACATATGTATCCTTATATACGTGTATGCCCACGTCTCGTGCTCGTTTATTTGATCGTCTTACGAGTCGCACAAATGAGCTCGTATTACCGAACTTATCGATTATACGCGCGATTAGTAAATGCACGACGTCCGTTTAGAAAATTATACTATTTTCTAGTATTTGAATTATTCCGATTATCATCCTTTTACCTGGAAGCTCTCGCATTTACGATTATACATCGCGATAACCTCGTTCCGCGCAGCATCATTTCGCGCAGCATCATTTCGCGCAGCATCGTTCCGCGCGCGTTATGATTTCCGAGCTTGCGCCGAGAATAAAAATGTGATTTTTGTTAATAAATAACAATAATAATATAACGGGAAATAAACGTGATAGCAACGTGGTAGTTTTTCCTAGTGAGGAAAAAGTAAGTTTGGGAGAAAACAGAAAGACCAAGAAAACCGGATAATAATCAAAGAAAAAGAAATGTGTCTCTTTTCGATTGCAAACGTTTGGATAATATATTAGGATATTAATGACGCGTTTTAGCTGACATAAGAAACTAAAGGGCATTGTACGAATGCCAGGCCGTACTGGCCGTGCCAAAGACCCGTGACAAAAAACTTTCGTCAAGTTTGACGGAAGGAGTTCTCTCGCGTAGGTCGCTCCCCCAAAGAAAGGGGGTAATCTCCTTTCTCGGCAGTGGTTTGCTCGGTAGGTAGGTAGGTAGGTAAGGTAAAATGAAAATCAATAGTTTTCCCTTCGTGCTTTCAGGCCGATGCACCTGTCCCTGTTAAAGTGTGTAGGCACGCGCTCGTTCTTTGGTATACGCGCTGTATCGCATGCGGTCGCAAACGCGAGGACAGCAGGTCGCAGACCCAGTTTTCGCATTGGATCATAGTCGCGACGCTCTTGCTTGGCCCCTTTCTTTCTGCATGCCTCCGAAATCCTTCTCTTTCTTTTTCCCCCTATCCGTCCTCCCTCTCTGCCTGCGCTCCTCTTGAACACCCTCAATCTCGGGCCAATTTGTCGGGGGCTATCTCTGAAACGACCGCGATTGAAAGTACGGCGGCGAACGCTATGATTCCATGCCTATATAGATATAGTATACATAGATAAACGTCGTTTCTTTCTTCTTGGTATTAGCCTATACGATTAGCTTCGTCTCGTCACGTTACCCAAACTAAAAGAGCTTCGATTAAGTGATTTCTTTTATAAATGTCTATTTAATGTACACACACTAAGAATAGGGGAAATTAACAGACGCGAGTTTACAGACGCGAGTTTACAGACGCGAGTTTGCAAACGCGTCATTTATATACAATACAAGGAAACTTTAGAAAGTCGCTTCTTCTAGCCAATGGCATGCAATAATCTCGCGAATGTCACGCGCTACCTTCAACTACCTAGCGATTAAGGTATGCTTTTTCTATATCCTACTTTCCGTTGCGCAGGAGTCACACATACTTGTCACTCGTTAAAGAAGATTCTTTTGTCTTCGTTGACTGCATGTAATTAAAGGAAAATGATTTCCTTTTATTGCCTTATGGAAGTTTGTCAAGTTGAATATAAGTCAGCTATTCGACGAACGGGAGGAAGTTTTGTCTTTGAAAAGAAAAAATAATACACAGACGAGGAGGAAGAAGCCTAACGACTTATTAATTGTAATCTAATTGACAAAATATGAAACGTTAATATTACGAAAGACGAAGAAATTGAATTTTCAAAGTTGGATCTTTTAATATAACTAAATAATATTGTATTGTTCATATCGTAACAAATATCGACTCTGGTGACATTGTTGGATAAGTTATCTTTTACGCAGTATAAGTAGATATACTGTGATAGATACGTTCGTAAAAGTGTTAACAGCACAAACCTATGCATATATCGATTTGAGTTATAATAATAACCAACATATTGCTATGTACCTTTTAGATTCGCACATTTTCTAGTGGGTTTACATTAATATTTAGAATCTTCAAATAGAGGAGTATAGAGAAAACTGATCGGTTACCAGTTTACGTAGGAAATATTTTGGTTCTTTATTTTTCTTTTTAAAAGATAAGAAATAAAGGATTAAAAGTAACAAGTAGATATTATTTCTAGTTGTCGAGTAGAGTCGCTTATTTATTTGTTCTATGATATTGGCTAAAGATAGACTCCAGAAAGCACTTTTTTAAGTTCTCTGATTCAATCCTTTCAAACGGCAAGTCTTCGTTATCGAACACTCAGTATACTCGAATAAAATTCACTTTGTATATTCACGAAATTATTGCAACGTCGTCGGTAACGTATAATTCACGTAACCACCATTCATTTTCCTCGCGAAAAGAAAACAGTGATCTCACGTCGTTTGTAAAGTCATCGCGCGTTGATTATACGAGACACGTGGAATTCTTGGACGTTCCAAGTTAATGACATTATTTGGAGCGCGCTAATGATCGTGCTTGGGATGCTTTTGTTAGATACCCAACAACCTGTTGACCCTTTTCATCGAACGTTGTTTATCTTCCCATCGTCGAAACATCCAATGTTGCAAGTCATCAAATTTATCGAAATGACACGCGTAATTATTATACTTCTTCTAAAATTCCATTGTACTTTCCAAATCGCAAGTTCTTCCAAAGGAAAAAAAAACCTTTTGCAGAAAGTTATATTTCGAGTAAATTTTCTTCCCAACTGTTCTACTACGTTTATTTTTATCCCCAGTGGTTTGGATCGTGGGTCGAGCGTTTTTATAATAAAATTTCGCTTTTGTGGAAATGATCGGGAAGCAGATTGAAATGCAAATCAAAAAAAATTGTTGGCAGATCGAACGATCACGACGTAGCCAACGAAAAAATTATAACTAAAACGCCACCAGTAGTTTCGTTAAGTTACCTAAATGGGTCGATGCGAATATGTATTTTAACCATCGGTATTAATTGAAATTAATTCCAAGTGCTAGCCCGAGCGTATTCGTTCAGTTACTTAACCTAACGTATTAAGGACAAGCTCGACTTATTTTCAAGTCGGAAAGAAAATCGAGACCATCTCGTAAATGGTCTCTCTTTCTCTCTAGTGAAAACATTTTTTACCACTGGTTAGAATTGGTTTCAGGGTAGGTAATGAAGTACGAAGATCTTTAATTGTTATCTCGGATTAATGTGGATCTTTGAGTGTGCTCGGCGAAACATAAAAAAAAGAATACGTTCGCGTTTTCGTGAAATAAGAATACTCGTTTTTGCCAACAAAAAGATAACGATACAGGACAAAACAATATTCTTTTATTATCATACCTTTTTATCGGTATCAAATGTCGTCAACGTAGGAACAACGTAAATGTGTGTGTTTTTTTTATTCCCATTATCATAACTCTAATCGATTTAATATTCACCCAATTAAGCATTGTATTTTATACTTGCTTCTACATACAATATAATGTTACGCTTACTAGATGTTTTTAGGATGAAGAAAATTTACAAATAAATACATTAGTATGTCTTAATGAAATATTTCATGAGTTTTATTTTTGAAAACTTTGTTAATAAGAAGTGAATTAAATAAATACGAAAATAATGTTTAACGTTCCTGGCCAGTAATGATTTTCTGTTGAAAATTTTCGTCTAATAAAAAAATATCTTATCAAAATTGTTTAATATTCAAAGTGTAGCAATAGATATGTCATTTTTAAACAAATGTACTTTGTATTACTAGTATTAAATTGATTCTAATTTAAAAAATTTCTTTTTACAGTAATATCAATACGTCGTTTAGTGACGGGCGTTTTCTGTATTTTTGTTTCTGATTATTTTCTTACTTGTCAATTTAATTCACTTGTTATAAATAAAGCTTTCAAATAAAACTCATTAAATATCTAATTAAGATATATTAATGTATTTGTTTCTAGATTTTCTCCATTCAAAATACACTATATCAATAGTTCAAGCGTAACTGTATACGTTTTTTAACAGATACTCACAGTTTTCATATAACCCTAACTTATGACCAATGATTCTAACATTAAATCTCATCCAATCATTCAATGTATATAACCAAAAAAGTCGTAAAATAAGAAAAATATTTCCTTTGTCTTCTCTAAAAGAGTTTATAATTCTTTTCATATTTATTCTTTAAGGAAACCAAAGCTTCACGTTTTTTAATGAGCGCGGAAAGACAAAGGCCACGTAGGAAAACAAAAAGAGCCGTATAAAGTAAAACGAATTGATGCTTAACATTGATTAGCTCATTAAATAAGCAATCCTCTAACGCGTGCTTCGAATAATTAACTTTTAATTCGTATAATTTGCGATCGTATTTGTTTAGTAGCTGTGTGGATACGTGAATACTTTTAAGTTGACCGTACCCGAGTATATGGTATCAACACAAACGTTAAGGTTAGAAAGAGATTATGGTAAAAGAAGCGGGAAGAAAAAAAAAGAGAGAGAGAATAAAAGATAGGTGCTTAGAATAGAAATGATCGAGAAACGATCGATAATGGAGGAGATTGCGGATGAGTTACACGCCCGCGCTTTTCCTGTCTTTGCATAAAAGGAACGGCTCTTATTACTCACATTTTATTTGTCGTAGGATCGCTCACGCGTTTTTGAAGAGCGCGCATTTTGCTTTCATAACCTAACACACACGTTCCGTGCGCCTCTTTGAAATATATTCATAGAAGTTTGCATCCTTTTAAATCATTTTTATCGTCAATCGTTTGATCATGTGCCACGATATTATCTATAATAATATAATCTTAAACTTCATTCAAATGGTCGAATGATTCGATCGTAAATAATATCGCGAAACTTGTAATGATTAATATTCTTTAAATGGCCAACTTTATTTATTATTAAACAGCATATTAACAGTCGCTCACAATCTTTTTACATATTATATTTTTATTTTTGTATTTTTGAGAGAGAGATTTTTGAACATCATATAAATTATAGGAATTAGTACAAAACTAATAATAAGTCATTGAAATGATTTATATGAAATTATTTAATTAGGACTATCTTGTAATAATATTTTTACTTGACTAAATGATCGAAAAAGAATGTAAATATTTATTCTTATTGCGTGGAACGTTTTAACCGTGTCGGATACAAGGTCATAAAAAAATAAGAAACATAAAAAGCAGTTATTTATATATATATATATAGATTGATCGATCGATTGCTACTTGTCACATTTAACAATTTTCCTTGTAATCAGCTGATTCATTGTCAGGAAGGTTGAATAAACGAAAATTTAACAAGGTTGATCGCTATGAAATTAGGAATAGCTTCATAATTCTTGTTCTATACTATACCTGAAATATATAAATATATTGTAGTATATTTAATTTCGTATATTTGTCGCTCGTAACTGATTGAGGATATGTTATTAATACTACGAATAAGAATCGCAGCTACATACATAGATTCTTCTACAAAATCTTTGCCATATACGCGTTATAATAAGCGTTATAATAAGCGCTATAATAAGCGTTATAATATACGTTATCAAAACTACTACCGACTCGTACACAGTAATATTCGTTACATCACAGAGTGAAAAGCACAAAATGAAGAAGAATTATGTCGCGTATAGAGGTATACTTTAAGATATTTATTTCCGCTTATCTTTGGATAGTGATCTAATTATGAGGGAAAATAATATTAGATATGTATATGCTGACATACTGTGTTTTCTTTAACAATATTATCTTTCTGGTATGGCAGAATAGTAAGATTTAAGTCATATTAATTCATTCGCGGAAAGTCGGTCAACGAAACTGCACTCGTCAAGGCCTCTGTCAAGATCTTCAATGTGAATGTGGTTATATGTATCTAATAAAAGAGTGTAGAACAAAGTTCTTTATCCCTCTGTCCTCTTCTACATACATATACCGATCGTACAACTCTCCGTTCTCGAGAAAGCTAAGAGAACTAGAAGCACCGAACCGGTTTCTCATCGTTTCTTCATCGTTCCTCGTCGTTTCTTCTCGTCGTTTCCCCTCGTCGTTCCCGATTATCACGACCTACCGAAATGGAAATCTTCTTCCTTCATACAAGGCTTCTTTTTTACTCCCCCATACGGAATTGTAACTCTCCGAACGTGCTTCGGTTGTTCAATCCTTCTAACCTCGGACAACCGACGACATTTCTATTTATCTTTATTGCATTTATTATAATAACGTCAAAGTAACTAAATATTTAGCATAAGTCGAAATGTGTACACGAAATATCTACGCGAGTGCATAGATGCAGATAATAGATATCCATTTATATAGACATAAGTATGTTTGATTATGTCAATCTCTAAAGTTACGATTAACAACATTCACTTAAAAAAGAAAATGACCATGACTTTAAATTACTAGTTGAGTATAATCTGCAATAAATTACGAATAAACTTGAAATATGAATATTGCCGATAACCTTTACTATTTAAGACAAAATATAGAATACAAATTTTCTATTTATGCACTTGTATCGAGAGTTTAAAAACGTATTGTATTTTCGCCGTTATGCGTTATGAAAATATTGGCAACGAGATAAGACGGATAAGAATCGATGCACGATTATAGTACGATCAATTTTATCGGGAAGCTTAGAACAGATCAACAATTCATATTTCACGCAATCGCATAAAGACTCAAAGGCTTTTAGTATTGGGTTCTCACCGATTAGCAAATTAATGACGCGCGACTCTCTTCGCACGTGACTATGATTTCATCATCGATATTGTGTCAGACTCGAGAATACCCTTGAAACCGAGGTACGGTAACAACGACCTTGAAAAGCAGGAAAAAGCAAGTTTCGAAATTCAATTGTTTTGTCAAGAAATACTTTTATTTAATTACATTCATTTCCTTCTCCTGTATGAGAAAACTTTTTTCTGCTGTCCTTGTGTGTTTGATCTCGTTAAAAGAGTTTAAAAAGTTGATTCTTTCAAAGGGAGAAAAGAAACGTCGAGACCTCAAGAACGGGATGAATCACGAGCGTTGATAAGAAGAAATTAATGGGAATCAGCGTGACACACGTAACCGATAACAATTTCGTCGAGTTTGAACACGGAGCATGTGACTCTTTATTCTACGCGAATTATGAGCGAATTACGAGCGAATATGAGCGAATACGAGCGAATACGAGCCGAATACGATGCGAATCGCATTCTAAAGCACATTGACCTTTTTTTCTTCTTCTTCTTCTTCTTTTTCGATTAGCTAATTCGCATATATAAGTATGCCCATTCCAAATGCCCCACTATTATTACAATAAAAGCTATAGGATAGACTGAAAAGTCATCAAGTATCTTGACATTAGCGTCTTCCTCTTAGGGACTATCTAATTATGATAATTTGTTCGTTGTCTCGAGATTTTCAATCCGTTTCTCTATTTGGTATATTACTCTAACCGTACATACGTCGTTTTTAAATCCGTATTATATTGATATCTCTAAATGCATAGATCCGTTGTTTCTTTTTCCTTCTTTTTATTCTTTTTTTATTTCTTTTTTTTCTTCGAGATAAGAGAGCTACGTTTTTTTTAACACTCTCGCTGATAAGATTAGAAAGATTTGCCACGAATTACTAAGGATATAATTTAATACGTGCTAATTGCTTTTGCGATAAAAAAAAAAGTATAATAAGTTATATATATATATATATATATATATATATATATATTTTCTTTTTCCACAGGACCCAGCACGTGGGTGGAGAAATTCCCAATGGCAGCGGGTTCGAGACAGAGCCCGGTGAATATAGAAACCGATCGGGTAGAATCCGACCACGAGGCTTTAAGTAGCAAACCTCTTCGTTGGAAATATCCTGCCACAGCTTCCCGAAAATTGGTCAATCCAGGATATTGTTGGAGAGTCGATACCGATGGTGATGGCACTCGTAAGTTATTATCTCTCTTTCTCTCTCTCTCTTTCTTTTTCTCTTTCTCTTTCTCTTTAATTTCAAATTCACCTGCTGCGAATGAGGATTATTGGTAGAATATTTTTCTACAAAAGAATACGCGCGCGTTCGATCTTACATATTCAAATCACGACTGAAATCATATATACTATATTCAAATCATGATTTGCACGACCATCGCAAATCTTACGGGCACCAACACCACCACCACTAGCCCCCCTATCCTCACCCCCCTATCCTCACCCCACTACCACCGTCATCGAGATTTGCATTTTCTACGATCTGCAATTCAATGTTGTCGGTTGTAATCGCCTCCTGACGCTTGCATCGTGAGAGACCTAAAAAGAATAAAGGGGGAAAGTGGAAAAGGGAGGAGGAAACGCCAAGTAGGGTGTCTCGTTGTAACACATTGTGGTCACTTCTCGTGGACATCTAAGTGTTGGTACTCGAATGCAAGATCCTTGTGAATATAGAGTTCCTTTACCCCGTGACCAATCGCTTTAGAATATGTTAATATTTTTCACTCCAAGATCGCGAAGTATACTTTTTTCTTCCAATGTTGTTACTCGGCATGACTAATTAAATACATTCTTTCGTCCAATAGATCTTTTCGTTTGTTTTATATAGTATAGCGAGTTAAAAATAAAACTTTACTTTCTATATGAACATTTTCCAAATTGCGTCAATAAAATATTTATAAAACTTAAGGGGCACACCTAGTGTGAAATTTTTAAAAAATTAATTTTTTTTTTGCATATTTTGATAGTCTATATCTTTAAAAAGAACATACTGAAATTTCAAATAAATATTTTAAATAGTTTTAGAATTACAGCCTTCTAAAGAGTAGCCGCTCAGGGAGATAGCGAAAATTATCGCTGAAAATTACCTTTTTTCATTTGAAAATTTTAGTGAATATTCGTTAATTATGTATAAATATATCCTCTAAATTTGGAAATATTTCATGCAGTAGTTTTGTTTAAAAAAATTTCTAAAAATCACCTTTTATTTAAGCGGTCATACTAGGTGTGCCGTCTTCGAAATGAGGACAAAGATGTCTACTATTATGCGTATCACTTGAGTAACTTTCTATATCGTTTTACTTTATGGTACAGTTTCAACAATGTCGAATAATTAATCGATTTGTAAAATATCTAATTGACATTTTTCATACGATTCTTTTAAATATATTGTCATTCGTAAAGAATCTCAACCGACATACCAAAATGAGCACAGTCTTTATTTTTTTGATTGCATTATTGCCCCCATACGGGATCTGTGCAAGTATCGTTAGTCTAATCAAGTGCATCCTGTATATAATAGAAACGTCACAGAGATATTACCAGAGTCTTAAGAGAATATTCCAGTTAAATCAAGCCGTAGAATTGTGAGGAAATCGATCGAAAATGGATGAGGAAACGAGGAACAATAAGAATATATAAATAATATATAATAGTTTATAATTAATATTAACAATACACTAATACTTTATGTACTTATTATTTTTGATCCATCTCTTACAATTATTAAGTCTTGTTGCTTACTCTTTACTTTCCGTTACCGAATTTTTCCGACTTACTATATTTATGTCTTACTTCTTCTATTTTTATCCCAAGATCGACTTCAACAGCAATGTCAGAAATGCGTCAATTTGGACATTTATTTTTTCCATGCATGTATTTTTAGACCAAACTTTTACACAGTTCTAAACTGAAATATTCTTTTATAGTATTTATCGTTCGCTCATATACATATTATTTGCATATTTATACGAAAAAAAAAAAATCTTATTATACTACTGTATTGATTTTATTTTGATTTCTTTCATTTAAAGATTCGAATTAAAATTGCAGTTTTAAGCGGTGGACCTCTAATGGATGACATTTACAAGCTTGAACAATATCATTGTCATTGGGGATGCAGCGACTCGAGAGGTTCCGAACATACTGTAGATGGTCAGGCTTTTGCTGGCGAGGTATTTCTACGAATTCTCTATATTTTTTGCATAATCTTTACTTAAATCACGTTATTAGAATTTTTTAAGCATTTACCTAAAAACTATAAAGTGTTAAACTTGACGTTTAAAATGGAGAGAATAATAAAGTTTTTAATAATTAATTAAAAATACTTGCGCGCGAAAAAAAAATCATCGAAATGTTTATTTTTACATTCCAAATTTTAATTTATAAATTTATATATCGACACTTTGACCTTATGCAATATATAGTTAACATATAGAATTATTAGAAACGGAGGAAAAGTTTCGTTGTTTGCATTTCATTCTATTGATAGACGACACTTTTTCATCAAAATTCTTTCTACGAGTAAAAAATAGAAGATTTGAGGAAGAAGTAGGTTGTAGGTCGTCGTTGTTGTCTCGGTTTAGCGATCGACGTCGAGTCTCGTGTATCGTGTTGTTAATTCATTTCACGTGGAGCATGAATCACGTCGCGGTCGCTCGCTCGAACTTACGAGTTTACTTCTAATCCTAGACTTTTTCTTCTAACAATAAGATATGTATGTAAGTAGTTTTTATGTATTTTTATTTGTCTTTACGCGACGACCAACGAACAGAGTAACTCTTAGGTATTACGGCCTGTATTACCTGTAAAATATTGTAAATAAGAAATCAGTGAGATCAACGAGAATATTTTCTAAACGATTTATCATTACTATCTTACCTTCAACATACAATCGACTATTATTATTAATAAACACGCTGTTTCACGATAACCAATTAACATTATTTTCTCTTAGTTATGTGTTACGTAAAAATTCATTGAAATAGAAATTCAAATGCACTTACTTATTCTGTTGATCTTTTTAGCTCCATTTGGTTCATTGGAACACAAGCAAGTACAAGACATTTGCGGAAGCTGCAAAAGCATCGGACGGTCTTGCGGTGTTGGGTGTCTTTCTCAAGGTCAGTTTTCACTCTTTCTCTCTCTCTCTCTCCCTCTCTCTCTCTCTTGAAGCCCTTTCCAGACACGATTATACTTAGATTCTCTATCAAAACTGTCTCGCACCGTATCTTTTTTTTTTTTTCTACGGATGCCCTCTTATGCAGGTGTACGTACACAAATGCTTATTTAAAGCTTTTACGTAAGTAAGTTTGAAGCTCTCTATAAGCAGAATCCGTAACAGTGGCGACGTTAATAGTATTGCTTGATAGACGATTACGTAAACGTTTGTACGGCGAAAGACGTTAAGCATTAGGATTCTTCAAAACTGCAAGAAAATTTGCTTTTCCATGCGAGCATGGATACATCGTAACGCGGATGGAACGATCACCGGGCACCGGATGGAATTTAAATCGATCATTTCCTTCGTCCAACGCTCTTTCTCACTTTCTGTTCCTCGCGTACCACCACACCGGAAGGATCGATTTTTCTCACGGCCATTGTTGTAATACTTGCTGTCAAAGAGAAGAAATTTCCTTTACAACAACGTTTATCGATGGACAAATGAGATTTTCACATAGATACGTGAAAATTCGAGAGAAGATAGGATATAGTCACGATGTACATAATTTATTTGAAAAAGAAAAACCAGGTTGTTATTTTTTTCGCGTAATTTTAATTTTTTTCATGACGCGAAACTGTACTTACTGTAATCAGGTATGAATACCGTTCGTTTATTACGAATCATATAACGAAAGTTAGCGTTCATATAGTTTCTATATTCGTTGCATAATATTTCCAAGGGGTAAAACAAAATTTTGGATTTATCGAACCGGGAATATATTGAATTTACAAATTAGAATTTACGTCCGTATTATACGCGTACCATAACACGTGATGCAATTTGATAAGTGGTCTTGCGGAATCGCTCGTTGAAAAAGAAAATTTCTAAGATTACAATTTGTATCGATGGAAGATATTTCCTAGAATTTATTCTGATTTGTTTTTCATTTGCCAAACTAGCACATTGATATTCTTTACGTTAATATCTTTTATCGAATGTTAACGTATCGTGTATAACTAAACTTATCCTTAGTATGCAATTAAGAAGATTTCTGACGATAGGTTACAACTACATCGACGATTCGTAAAACGACGATCATGATCGTTAGATAATCGCCAATTAAATGTAACATATGGTCCGTATAGAAGAGTGACACACTTGAATTCTATCGATGTCGCATTCAATTATATACAATACTTATTTATTGTTAGATACAAATCGCATAATTAGATGTAGCAATACGATCGCAATTTAATGAATAAATAAGTCAACATAAAGAACAATCGAATCTAATGTCATACGTTTCTAATGTATATCGATTAACAACTGCGTAATTGTAATAGAAATTGTATTAGAAAATAAAACACGACATTTTATAAAGAGTATAATTTTTCCCGTTATGAGATGGAGAGGCCGAGAGAGAGGAAAAAAAGAAGAAAAAAAAACAATTCGAAGAAAAAGTATTATATTATACAAAAGTATTTATATAAACATTTAACAATATTTCAATATCATTTTCGCAGGATAGAAAAATCGTTGGTAGACGACTAATCGATTTCCAATCGTCTCTGCGTAGAAATACTTTATGAGTTTCTCTCTTCTTTTAGTGTACACTACGAACTAGGAACGGTTAGCTTATTTGACGAGAAATTTCTTATAACTTATAGATCAAAAGAACTCGTCGTCGTACGTTAGTCGGCCTAACATTTAGATCGTCGACTTAATAAACATGAGCACGCCTTTAAAATCGATTGCTGACTGCTTAAGCGTTCATGCTCGATCAAATAAACGTAGAAAAATAAACTTCATTGATGATTATACACTAATTAATTTTATTAAATGTCACGAAAATGAGGTTTCTTTTCTAAGGGATTTTTAATCCATCTTATTTTTTTTTTATAGGTTGGCAAAACCCACGAGGAGATGGATAAGATCGCTCGTTTATTGCCATACGTTTCTCATAAGGACGAAATTGTTGAAATAGCAGAACTCATTGATCCCAGCAAGTTACTTCCCGGTGAGTTTAATAAAAAATCTTTTCAAATATCTGACGTTTAGATCAATTAAGAACGGTTCATAGTTGTGTTATTAAAAAACAATATTATTTATCGTAGTTGTTGGTAAAAAAAAAAAAGAAAGTATTTCTTTATAACAATTATCTGCTTACATTAGTCTTTTAGCTTGGCATTTATAATTAGATTTATTTTTAAACGACGAGATAAACGAATGGGTGGTCGACGATAAACGTAGAATTAGTTTAGTCCTTACTAACAAGTCAAAGTTAATATCGTCGACTATCAGGGGTCTTTTAAAATGAAAAATAGAGAGAAAAAGAGACGTACCAATTGACGCTTCCGATTCTGAAATGCGATAATAAGCTACTGTCAACTAATGAAATGCACTAATAATGTATATACACTCGCACCGTAAATGCGCATGCAGTGCGCGGCGGTGGACGAGCCAACACGCAGAGATGCGCTAATCCGTGTATGCGTTGGGCCGACCGAATCATACGTCACGAGAACAAATTGGATTTTCAAGGTTTGTATGAATGCCTTGAACTACATATGTATGTGTACTTCGTTTCAATCGTGAGTTCCGCGCTCGACCGTATCTCCATCGTTATTTTTTCTTTTCGTTTTTGATCGTTCAAAAGTGAGAATGCAAAGAGAGATAAAGAGAGAGAGAGAGAGAGAGAGAGAGAGAGAAAGGAAAAAATCAAGGAGAACGCTCGAAGCATATCGCGATCGATCATTGTGAAATTTCATTGTCAGCCTTGGAGTGGAATTTTCCAAACTTATTTTTCTTCTTGGATGTTTTTATTTTTCACTTGTGTGTATAAAAAAAAAACCATCGCTCGTCGGTTGTTATGTCCTTTTTTAAGTGAATTTCTTGCACTCGTCTATTTTTAACACTGGGTTTACGGGACATGTTTCCAATTTCATGAGGAAAATTACAAAAATCGTTAAAATTTTCTACGAAAAACGGCTATCGTTTATTTTCTACCAAAGTTTTACTAATATTGCAATTTTCAATGTGATGTATCTATGTCTACGAATATGCGTCAATTTCACGCGATCGTAATATGTAAGCATAAATGTTATTAAATTAGTTTCATCCGTGCAAACATTAAGACAGTAATAAATATGAACGTGATAAAAGACGTAGTTTCTCGAGAATGTAATTCTGTCAATTGTAAACATATACAATGCAACGGTAATACATCGATCCCGCTATCTAAAATTAGCTTTGATAAGCTAGATAAGCATCACCGGTTATGTCCTATGTATTTGTGTTGTAAAGTACTGATGCATAAAAGGGAAGAAAGAAAAAATCACTGAATGCGAATTGCAGTCATAGTGTAAAGACTTTTAGAAGTTTCTGCTCTTACTAGTTTGTGCAGCTAAGAAAATAATAATGTATTTTGTGAATTAGTAATATTATTGTGAAATTCAATATTGCACTATTTTGACAAATAGCTTCTTCCTTATCAACTAAATATGTCTAACAAGGAGACCTTGGTCGGTTGTGTCCTCACGGATTTTAACGAGCTTTGATATATTAGTAGTATACTAATAGGGTGTTATCGTGGTAAAGTATTTTATCAAAATGCGAAGCCAATTTTCAGAAAAAAAGCTGTTGAAGTTTTGATTTTTTTGTATACTTAATGCAACTGTAGCTTAAATGCAACTGTTTATCAGAAATAAGTATATAAAAAATATCCGTAAACCTAGCGTTAACACGCATTGCCACTTCTGATCGTATTTTGGCCTCTTTTAATATTTTCATCATTTCATTCGCTTGATTGATCTAATTGATCATTTTATTATGACATTCCTTCTTCTATCACGACATATTACGAAATAACGAATAAATTGAATCCTTGCATGAGAAACGAATGGTTTTCGGCTTGGACGTACGTTTATAATTTTCGCAAACCCTAGAGGATACTAATATTATTTCGAGATAGATACATTATCTTAATAATGTAATTTCATTAATAATCACTGTAACGTAGTCCATCGTCTAACCGATTAGAATTTTCTTCGTCGATCCTATCGCATTTAATCATAATTTTATTCTATTGTATTTATTGTCACCTTATTGGATTGCTTCGTTTATATTATCAACGGCGTCATCACTTTTCTGATTAATAAATGGTATTAAGTAAGTGGTATTAAAAATAAAATTACATTTTTATCTTCCATTCGAGGCGAGATATATATAATACTATATATGAAGGAAACATTAACTAACAATTATTCATAGATTTACCCTCATCTCTATTACCCGACTATTAATCGATTTTTTCTTTAAATTGCTTAACGAGGAGAATGGGGTGGATCACAATTTATCCAGAACGTTACTGTTTCATTAATACGTACACGGTTTCATTGCAGACATTATATAATCTAATGTTTCTTGTTTTGTTAACTTATTATTATAACTTTTTCTTCTTACATTGATAAGTAAACGTTGATACGTTCATCGTACGAATTAATCGTAGCTCGATGTAATAATCTATGGTTTTGTTGCACTTTGCACACTTATTTTCTGACTAATAAAATAACGTACATATGTATGTATACGTTAACTCTAACATGAATTTCTTAAAATTCCATCTTTAATAGATTTTTTAACTTGTGTTTTGCTTTCGTTTACTTTCAGACGACAACGGTTATTGGACATATTTGGGATCGTTGACAACTCCACCGTTCAACGAGAGCGTCACTTGGATTCTCTTCAAAAAGTACATCGAAGTGTCTCATCACCAGCTCAACATCTTTCGTAATTTACGAAAATTTCCTCGTGGAGAGGAATGTCCTTGTCATGAGAATCACGGAGTAGTAAGATATTTTTTTCAATCTATTATTTATTCTATATTATTCTATATTAGCAGTATTCTATAGTAACAGTTGATACTTCCTTCATCTCTATTGGTACGGTTAACATTTGTTTTTTTTTCATATACAATAATTTATCATTTCAATTAATCGTTTTACCTTTCTCCTTACAGGTGATCAACAATTTCCGTCCGCCACTGCCGTTAGGAAATCGCGTGTTAAGAGAATGCGGCAGCCTTTAAACTTCTCTCGGTCCTCTCGTCTAACGAAAATGTTTCTTGTCGATCGTTAGAAGAATAACACAAGGGTGACGCAAGGGTGACGCAAGGGTGACGCAAGGATCATTGCAAGGATTCCAACTACCAACGATCATAATCGATGTTAAAGTTTGAAATCGATAATACGGAACTTTCTTTCGTAATCTATTTACGTAAAAACGTGCCTTGTTGTGTTCCTCAAAAATGAGTCATCTTTGATCTCTGCAGGAAGCAAAAATGTACCTCTATAAAAATGAACAAATATTCTTAAATAAGAGGAAAAAGAGAGAGCGATAGAGATGAAATGAGATGAGAGAAAATATACGAGTCTATTAAGTCAAAGTTTCAATATATGAATTCTTTTTTATAACTGTTAAATATTGAATACTTTATAATATTTTAAGATTTTTATTTAGATATATTAGATATTTAATAGGTAGTAAATTGGAAATTGTTTTAATCGCACTTTTGGGTATATATTGTGTATAGTATAGTATGTCAATGGCACGATGCTTCTTTTGTGTATAGTCAGTGCTAAAGAAATAATATTATATTTAGATTAAATCAATGAGAGAAAAACTCGTGATAAATTATTGTTCTCTTCTTCAGGTGCAATTAATATTATTTTATTAATATTATTTCATTAATATCATTGCGCGTGCATATATATTTTATCAATAATGAATATATGACAATCTTTGTGTTTGCGAGATAGAAAGAATATAGTTTATGTAACTCTATTTGTGAAGTCTTCGATCATAGGTTTGGCCTCGTCATTTTTCTTTTCCATTGTCAATAATCTTTATAACGTTTCATTCGATGTAATTGTTTTTATTTTTAATCAAATTTATTCTGCATTTTTTCTTACCTTATTGTAAGTGTTATTTCGTTAATTGCAACTCAATAATTTTATTTGTACTAAGGTTCATTACGTAATGGAAATTATAATGAAAATAGTAAGGACAGCTAAAGAAATTATTGGTTCGATCTTCTTTATTAAAAAAACCAGAAAATAAAAAAAGAAAGGAAAAGAAAATGTTCCTTTTATTGCAACACATTGTTTATTAATTCTTGTTAAATGTTAATGACGACTGGTACGACATTTTATAGAAATAGTTCTAGTCTATTTACATAATATGTATGGATGTATGGAATGCGATGGAATACTCGGTCGATGTTAATGGATATAGAAATGAAAAAATAACTTCGCATGATTAAACTAATGAAAATTGAGTAATTTAAAAATTGAGTTAATTTAAGAGAAGTGTTGATTTTCCTTCCGCGACAGTAAATAATGTTAAGCATATGAAAAATGTGCCATATTTTACTAGAGAGTTTACATACTGTCTTATCATTTTTGCTGCTTGCTTAAGGTTATTTACTACCTTTTGCATCTAAAGAGATGCATTGTCCTCCTACTATGCACCTAATCCATATCAATACGCATAAGCTTTTATACTTCTCACCATTGGGTTGGTGTTGGTTAGTGTATTCATTTTATGTTAGTTGACTGAATTGAAAATTTTCAGTCTCTCGTATTTATATTCGTCTTTGCGTGTATGGTCATGGCGATCCATCTATACGACAGAGTGACTTAACGTTTTTCAATTATTGTATTTCGATCGATGACAAACCTCCATAAAGAATAATAATTATATAATATAAGTAATAATTAGTAATATCTTGTATAGAAATTTGCGATAAAAAAGAAGAAAAAAACAAGAGCGTTCCTAACGCGAATTCCATACTTATCATTTACCTATCATTTTATAAGGTAAAACTTCTAGCGCATTTTCTTTAAATAATCACCTTTGTACAATGAGTATAGTATTACAGTAACGTATACTAAGAAATGATGTTTCGAATTTGTCACAAAGAGAAAGATTTGGGCCGCCGCGAACTTACTAAATCGTCAAACTTCCAAGATAAAACAAAAGGACACGGGTGAAGCTTACTTACAATAGTAAGAGCCAAATAAATAAATCAGTTGAAAATTTTAAGTAACGCCATCTATGAGAGAGATCGTTAAAAAATAAATTAATCGGTACGTATGTAATGGATACTCAGCAGACATTGAAATTGGTATGAGCTCATCGATGTTAAAAGTTTCTGACGAATTTCGTTCATGCTTACGATATTTAAACTAACTTTTTCAACAAAATAACTTACAATTTATAATTACTTGTTACACAATTTTTGGGAAAGATAAATACAGGACAGATTTGAGAATTGGATTCTTTCCAATAATGAAAATAAGTCAAAGTCCCCAATGATTTAGTTTTAAATGAAATAATTATCCTTATTAATATTAATATTTACGATAATAACGATATCGCGAGTTTAAATTTGTATATATCAAACAATACATTCGTCCCCATGTATCAATATATTATGTCTGAATTCGATTACGTACAAAGTTAAGAATTTTTTCATTCGTTTTTCAAGCGATAAGATATAACAGTTGTCGTGACAAAATATGAACAATTTCAATAAATTAGGCGGAAGAAAATCGAAGCCAGTCCGCGGTTTCCATTATTTTTTTTGCTTTTCCCCCAAAGGCAAATTTTTCATTTCTATTTGTATATATTATATTGAAAATGAATAAAATGTTTTGTGAAAAATAATTTTAATGTCATGGATAAGTAAGAGGAAACTTGAATTTCGCGGTTCCGACGCTATTTGTTCTGCCAACAACGCCACGTAGTGTCTTTAAACGTTGCTGTACACTGCCTCCCACTCGGATCATCCAAACGGCAATGCGAACGTACCAGTAAGATTTGACGCAGTACCAGGAAGATCTCTGCTCGGAGTATATCGGTTTTTTCGTCTCGAGGAATTTCTCATTACTACTTCGATTTTCAACATGGCTATTTGTAAGTTGCTCTATCGTTGAATCGATCAAATATCTTTTTTTTACACAATTCATTGTTTTATCAAACGAAATACTTGCAAAATGAATTCTATTCTTTTACTCGAATAATTTCGTCTCTACTTTCTATTATCTCGATTCCTTTTGCAAAAATCATTTTACGTTTCACAATCTCCTGTAAAATAACATTTTCAAAATGTTCGCAATAAAGAAAAATTCGAGTTAATAAATAATAATCTAAAGTAAAAGAAAATTGATCACGCAAAACGAATGCGGATTATTGTTTTTTTTGCATATATTACGTAATTAAGTATATTGAGCTACAATTACTAATATTCATATAGTTTAGTTTGACAATGAATCATTAGGTGCATCGCATGTGCATAACAATAATGAAATACACTGACATCATGATATAGGAAGTATCTGTCCCTTCCTCTCTCTATTTTTGTTTGATTCAATGGATATTACAAAAATCGAATGATTATAATAATATAATTCATTAAAATATAAATATACTTAATGGCGGTTATACGGATTTGAAATTTGAAGAAGAAGAAGAAAAATAATGAGTTCTCCATTAGAATGTATGTTATCAAACAGATTTATACGATGATAGTAATGAAGATTCGATGGTCTATTCAAAATGGCTGCGACCTACTAAATCTCTTTGGGAGTTTGTTTAATGTGCGTACAAAAAAAATGATATTGTTCTGAGAAAGAAGCATCTCGTGTACGCGCCTCTAAATATAGTCAAGGGTCAGACCGGGTGCGGCATGGCTGTAACGGTTTGACAAGCAAGACACACGACATATTTGTAAATATCTATTACATGTATTTTACTAGAGTTAACTATTGTAATAGGATAAAAAAAAGACACGTGTATTTTTTTATAATATTAAGAGATTTCATCGTAAATTGAACTATCGCAGAACTCAACAACCGAGAAAGAAAGTAGGATTGATGATATTTTAAACTAGGTACGATCAGAAGGTATCTATTATAAATAGAAACGACTTACTCACTGGACTAACAACCGACAAGATCGGTTGTCCCGATATTTTTCTCAACATTTCGGCATTGTATTCGATGCGCTTCAAATACTATAGATTAATCGTAAAGTTATATAATATTTTATTTATTTTCCTCATACACACGTCAATCTTACGATCTTATTGATCGTATTTCATTGAAATTAAGGAAATGGTATATTATCGTCGTGTTCAGCTAAATATATTTAATTAATTAAGACATTAGGAATTTCTTTGGAACGTATTAAGGAAGTAAAAAATTCTATTCTAAAGAGAATGTGTTACGAGTGGTGAACAAGAGACGGTTGCCATGGGAGGTCAATGGCATCGAGGAAAAGGTACACTGTTTTAAGTTGTTTTTCTTTTATGTACATACATACATACAAAAATACGCGTTACAAGCTGAAAGAAATATTCAAGCATATGCATACCTTTTTTTTTCTGTGTTTTTCTAAAAAAAAAATTACGATTTATTATAATGAAATGAAATTTCGATAGGAACGATATATATATTTCTGAATATTCTATTTTTTTAATAGAATCAAATTTTCGTAACATTTTACAGTAGTTTACGCATGCTTTCAGCAAGTTCGAAAAGACCAACGTTATCTGGTAAAAAACAACGAGTCGATAAAGAATAACGAGTCAGATCTCCTTTTGTTAATAGATATTACAATTGAAGTAACTATTTCTCTTGTAACTATTTTATTTTCACGACTTTTTGAGATACAAACTACGTTCTTCCGAAATATTATCCAGAAAATCTTTCTTTCGGTACATCAGAATGAGCAGCTGCATAATCGTGATTACCGAAATAACGAGATTCATCGTTGCGCAATGACTAATTCGCTCAATTACACTCGTTTTCTCGGTGTTATGTTAATTACAAATACAGTACGTCCTACATTATTGGACAAAGCCAATTTAAAGATGTTAATATTTGCGCGAGTCGTTGCGTCACTTTCGAAGAATATTTTAATAGAAGGATGTTAATAGTCAAGACGACGATACGCGTTGTTTATCAAATATTTAGCCTTTTTAAATGCGATTAATAAGGTTTTGCAGCTGTTCTGCATCTGGTAAACGACTGATCGAGAACATGTTGCTATCGTAGAAAGATTTTTTTTATACGAAGTTACGAGCATTAACTTTGCGAAATTTCTTATATTTTATTTTCGATAGTTATTAATTTTTATTATTGGACGATGAATCATCGTCTTCGTCGCCGTTGTAGTCGTCGTAATAATAGTAGTAGTAGTAGTAGTAGGAGCGGTTGACCTTCAAGTATTAACCTAAGATTACGACCAAGGATCGGCAATATTGAAAAGAATTTCCAAGCATATAGTTAGCTGTTTTTTAACTATAAAATCCGCTTAATTATAATCATATATAATATATTAATGCACACGTGTTATACGGACAATGTGTATATTTCGGGCATTTTATAGAATGCTCACGTAAATCCGACAATGTATATAATGAGCAGGTATTTTACAGATTGCCCGGTCATTCTATAGAATACCTAGAGAGTTTCGATTAATCTAAAAAATGTACTTCAGTTGGGTATCTAGAGCTCGGAAGATTCCAAGCTATTGTAAGTAAAACAAATTATGGAAATTTAAACAATCCCCTCTTCGTGCTTTAAATACATTTTATAGATTGACCAAAACTCTCTGGGCATTCTGTAGAATGTCCTACTCGCATTAACGTATTCCTCGTAACACATACACTTTATTTTATCATAGTTTCTTCGCGTCTCTTAATATAAAACGATAAGATCTTTTAGAATTTAGATCATCTATATCCTCTTAAGTGAAGTAATATATTCTTAAATATGAAATGACATCATCTTAATGACGTTTACTCACGACTGACATCGAATGACTCGTTGATGACCTCGAGTTACCTACTTATTGATTAACTTTGAATTAATTTAACGTAGATTAGTAAGAGCGCTTTCAATTGAATAAATAAGAAATCCCACGAATGTAAGAGGTAGAAATGGCTAGGAAAATGTATTCTTTCTTTTATGATATTGATGAATAACCTTCGCTTGAAAAGTAACTTTCGTGGCATAACTTTACTATTTACAACATGCATACATACATATGTACGTATCTAAATATATGCATCACCTTCTCTCATGCAATCTCACCGTTACTCGATGCGAGCTCATACCTTCGATACGTTTACGAATGATTCTGCAAAGAATGTTGCTTAGAATAACAATTATTTTTAATTTTACATACAATTAGTCATTAGAAATAATTAGAGATGTGAAAGACGATATCTTGTGGATTAATCATTTATTAAACTATCAACGTCAGAGTCTGAATTAAACTATAATATTTATCGTTTTAATAATCGTGATAATAATATATCATCGAGCAGAATTGCTTAAATTTTAGACAATGATCTTTTATTCATCGTACACGAAGAGAATGTATGTAAACGAAAATAGCCATTGGTTTCATTCTTAACTATGCATACGTGTCAAGCATTAGAATCAAATGAAACGAATTAAGGCGTCATCCGAGAATTATATTTACGAGCATGATGGATTTCCATGAATACAATTTTCAATGAGTTGAAAGATCATTCATCGTAGTTACCATCAAGTGGTGAATTTTCAAACGAATCGTTTTCCTACTAATCGCTGTACGTTTACGTACCAAGGTAGAACGTTTTTATTATTTTGTTTCCTTATACGTTCGACGAGTTTACGGAATATTTTGCCTGGCAAAAGAAATAAATACATAAATAATTTAAGCAAGGAAAATATTTATATTCCTTTTCTAAAGGTTACAGCTTATTACAAAAGACGAGATTTTAACATTTTAACGATTTCTGTAAAATCATCTCTTTAGTCCGAACAAGGGAAATTTTTCAAATGAAATTATTCACGCGATATTTTGTTGTCGACAGAGAAGAAATTATTAATATTATTCGAAAAAATCTGGTATGCAATCGCGTCTATGAAACTTAATCGGAGCACGAGATAATACTAACGATTATAGTTTAAAAATTGTAGCTTCAAAAAATGTTGCAGAAGTAAATAAGCCGATCTTCAATCAGCGAACTTTTTTAACTATATGTCCATGAAAAATCATTGTTATTCCATCCACGAAATATTCTCTTTCACGATTATCGTCAGCTACATTATTGATCAAAGAGTCCTACACATGTCCTACTTTCTTAATCGCGTTACTACGTGCAATAGATTAACTGGCGTCAGGATGTCTCGATATTTCCCGTCCCCCCTGTCCCGTTCCGTCACACTTATTTTCGACTTTCCATCCATGTTCCCATGTTGAGAAAATAGATATGAGCATATTTTGTTTGGCAACAACTTATCTTTCCCTTCTTTTACATTCAAATTAGATATAACAATTATCTAACAATAATCGATTAATGAAATATTGTTAAACATTCGTAGATGGCAATATTTAATATTGACAGACTTGAGAACCGATCACGCTTTACTTTCATTGTTTCACAACGAGTATGTTCGTTACGATATTATATTGATTGCGTTTATGCGTTTCTGATTAACAATTTAATTAATTTTACAGCACTCTCGACGGAAGACAAATTGGAGTATAACTTCTATCCGGTAACAAGCGGACAAGTTCAATTTCGAGTTAAAGCAGCCAATGATGCCCACATCGCGCTTACTACCGGTCCCCACGAGGGTGAACCCATGTATGAGGTCAGTAATGGTCTGATTAAAGTTATTCTCATAAATTTAGTCGGAAAATAAAGAAAAAAATTATTTACTGCAACATTGGGGTATCAGGTCTTCATTGGTGGTTGGGGCAACTCGAAATCCGTTATTCGTAAGAACAGAACTAAACCGGAAGTTGCAGAGGCAGAAACTCCAGAAATCTTGACGAGTAATGATTTTCGTGGATTTTGGATCAGGTACGATTAATTGTATCTCTTTGAAGTAATTCATTGGGGCAAGAGTTTTCTTCGTATTTTTTGTGGTAGATGATTTTAGAATCTCATAACTCGAATAATATTTATACACGAAGAAGCTTTTTCCCAATGCCAATAGAATTTTGGATACACAATTCATGATGTAAGATAAGTAAATGTAACCAGATATACACATATATTACTGATGATATATTGTTATATATATATATATATATATATATATATATTACGAATCATATTTAGATGGCATGAAGGCGAAATCACAGTTGGTAAGGAAGGTGAACCGAGCTCGTTCTTATCCTATCACGATCCCGAACCATTCGGTATAGGATATTTTGGTGTTTGCACTGGTTGGGGAGCCTCAGGAGAATGGTTGATCGAAGGTAAATCTTTGAAATCTGCTTTGGTGCTTGGGATATGTAAATTAGATTAGGGCTATGCGTTATATCATTAAAAGGACAATATTTCATTTTTCTTAATTATCTCGTAGAATATAGAACATTCTACTTTCATTCTAAAGTAAAAAAACAAAACTATAGAGTAGAAATTAGTATAGCTTATGTTACTTTTAATTATTTTAACGCAACGCTGCTATTTATAGAAAATAAAGTTTTTAAGCTGTGATAGAAAGGGGAAAATCCTTGTACATATTTAAGATAGAATGTAAAGAAAGTACGAAATAATATTCGAGACGTGTACATTTTATTTTTGGTACTTTTTTCCAATATTGGACGGGACTTATCTAACGCAACGTGATCTGCACAGCCAGATGCGTCGGGGATAACCGTGGCTGTACGTAATGTATAATACAGGAGAACCATTAGGCAAGGCTTGTTGATCATGTAGTTTGTAGCTGTACCCGTAACCGTACCTAAAGCCGTACATGCATATAGTAATTTTTTTCTTGGTAGATTACGCTTTGAGAATGCTCCTTTAATTTCATGCATATATATTATATTTATGTATATGTATGTCATCCTTCAGCACGAAAATTTTGCACCGGCTATGAACAACTAATCGTGATTGTTTTTTTTTATGACGACAGTGCACATTTAAAAAATGCAGTCAGATATTTTCAATCGACGAAAAAAGTTCAGCCCATCATTCGATGTTATAATTAACACGTGTTCTTATATACATCTAATAATAGTAATAATATATTTCATTTCTCCTATTTTAAATAGAAAAGAAAGTACTTTCTTATCTTTCAATTGCAAACTATGGAAAACAACGTTTCTCTTAAAAAGCAAACGATCTTATTGACAATAAATTGATCTATTATAATATAAAATAATTTCATGTATCTAATGTGTATTCGCATATGCAAGGACGCATACCTTTGAAAACAAAAGATGAGCTCGTCTACAAATACCACGCGGTGCGAGCCGGCGCTGTGTTCATCGAAGTCAAGGCCCAAAGCAACGCGCACGTTGCTTTGACCGACGCAAAGGATGAAACGAGTCCGATGTACGAGTGCATGCTGGGGGGCTGGGAAAATACTGCGTCGGTCATCAGATACGATCGTAAAAAGCCTGACAAGGTTCGACAATTTTTTGGAACTTTTCCTTTCCTTTTGTTTGTTGTCTTTCCCCCCCCCCCCGAAACCTGAGCAGTCTCTTTTGCGCAACGATCGCGTCAGGTTTTGTTCGCGTTTTGTCGTCTCGTGTCGTGTCGTGTCGCGTCGTGTTATAACGCGTTGATTTTGCGGCAATAGGTACGCATGGACACCCCGAACCTCCTCAACCAGAATGATTTCAAGAGATTTTCAATCTCTTGGCTCGATGGACGCATCACGGTCAAATCCGGCGATCAACGCGGACCCGTAATCATGGAGTGGGTAGATCCAAATCCGATTGGCATCAGTTACATTGGGGTACGCACCGGTTGGGGTGCTAAAGGAGTTTGGAAAGTTCGTTTCGAACCTAACTTGGCGTATCCTTCCTCCGTCGGTTCCCCTCACAAAAGTAATCTCTCTTTTGTATTTTATTTTTCTATTTTTGTTCATTTTCTCTCTCTTATCTTACTCGAGATCATTGTCAGAGCTTAGATTTCCAAGATTTAATAAAACTGTTGTTTCTTTCGAAACACATATTATTTTCTACTAGTTAATCAGGGCTAACGAGCACTGACGGATCTCGGGTTCGTTGAATAACGAAATCGTCTTTTCGCTTGGGTGCGAATGCGCTCAGTCTCGTAGCGAAACGCGCATGCCTCGTAGAGAGACACGCATGTCTCTTTAAGTTCATCTTTCATAACACAATGCGGATACACATTTTCCTCGGCTCGTTTTATGTTTTATGTCGAAGAATCTTCAGTGGTACCGGAAGTTCGCCCTAATAATTGAAACAAAATATCATACCTATGCCGTTCAGGTTTTTCGATACATATATATATTTAAGCATACTTATATACGCATGTATATGTGTATGTATATTTATGTATATATGTATACGTATATGCTATTCAAATATTTTTACAAGTACGCACATTGAGCTTGTCCTGCTGCACGTTGCACGTTGCCCTTATTGCTTCTTCTTGATTTGCTGGGCTATCTAGTTTTTTCTTTACTTTTGTTCTCAATCCTGTCTTTCGCATAGAGTACAAGGAATCGAATTATTTCAATTAACATTTCTATTTTTAATAACGACACATATACATATGATAACAATATTAACTCTATTATTATTATCAGTATTATAACAAAAATTTCATCATTGACAAGTTCATTTTGGTGTTTTATTTGTACAAAAAATATATGTGGATTTCTTAATGAAAAATTTCTTTTGCTTTAAAAATCGAAGGAATAATTAGGATCGATAATTAAATGAATAAAAAAATGGAATTTATTGCAGACCCAAATGTTGCACCTTCCGCGCCATTACAAGTCCAAGGACTCGACACCGGAAGTCAATGCTGGTGTGATGCGGCAGGTGGCATGATCCCACCAGGTGCAGTCGAAGGAGGAAGGGACGACGAACCTTTGTTCGTAGGTAGAGCTCATCATGAAGGTGCTCTCTTACCTGGCAAGGTGAAACCTAGTCATAGCGTCTGCTATGTTCCTTGGGGCGGCGCCGAACATGGCAAAACGGATTATCAGGTGCTTTTATCGATGATATCATATAACATTAATAAGTTGGCTCCTCTATCAAATATAATAGTTACATAGTATGTATACATAGACATTTGATACTTGCGTCATCTTCAACTGTTTCGTCAAACTTAATGTGTTCCTAGTTAGAATATTTAGAAGAATATTTTATATATTTATTTGATTGAAAGATCGAACGTTGTAACATTAATTAAATCGGATTTAATCAAAGAATTAATTATTGCAGGTACTTTGCGGTTGCCAACCATCTTGGGTATCGGTGAGCGGTGGTAACATTCCAGCTAATGCGATTCCTGCTGGAGAAACGGAAGATGGCGAACCTTTGTTCGTTGGTCGCGTACATCACGAAGGCACTTTATCTATCGGCAAAGTGCAAGCATCTCACGGCGTTTGTTACATACCTTTCGGAGGCGCCGAAGTCAGCTTCCCTGATTATGAGATCATGGTTTCTCAGTAATCGTTATTTCATACGCTCTAAAAGCTCTAATACACGTGCTTGATCTATCGACAAGTTTTCTCGATCATATTTTCTTTATTTTACTTTCGTATTCTTATGTGTGTTATATTTAATACATACTATATGATCACTAAATAATTACAAAACGATATCCTTTAACGTGTTCTTTTTTCTTCTTCTTTTGTTAACGAAAACAAATGTATTGCAGGAAAAAGAGTCTCGATACGTTGTAAATCAATCGTCATATAACTTTCAAATGTTTAATCTAAGTTCAAATGTTTTTATTTCAAAGAGCAGCATTATATTGATCGATGGACAAAATATAAGTAAACGATATAAACGATGTAAATGTTAAAGCTTTCGCATTCAAATTAAAGCATCAAAGTAACCATTGTAGAACGAGAAAATCAATGGCGATATATTTATAACTAACTGTAAGCTATATATTTTAATATAACCACGTTGTTGTTGATCTTCCTTGGAGGATTTGCTAATAACCTATTGTTTTCTTAACGAAAATTAAGATACAAGATGACGATTATTTTTGTTCATTGTCAGCAATATAGTTTTCTAATGCACGCGTACGGTTCGATGAAAGAAATATTTTCAGATGTTGTATCGTTATACAATAAAATGCATACAATACAAATAAATTGTTTGTCATATACTTTTGGCGACCTTTTACAGAACGGATATTTGGCTACTAGTACAAATACAGGTTTTTCTGTATCTACGTACAGTGTACTTTGTGATTTTTATATGTGTATGTGTCAAAATGTCTGCTGTAAGTGATAGCTGTTTGAAAGAACGTTCGTGTATAGGTTTTCTGTGGGCGAACAAATGTTAAAAAAAGCAATGATTATCTATTTCATATATTGGTACGTCATTGACTTAAAATTGTTGTATACGGACGCGTACAAAGTTGAATATATTACACTTGCACTTCGTTATTTCTAGGATACCTTTTTTAAATATACTTTTTTTTAAACAACGTTTCTTTTCTAAGGGTATCGAAAATTTTGAAGTGAAAAAATGAAAAGGACGTGTTATCTAGTAAGTGAGCTTAAAGAGCATCATTGCAGTGATTGAATGAAATTGCATTTATACGTAATTATCGTCGAATTCTGTTGAACAGCCCGCGCAAAATTTATCCGTGCCTAACAAGGACACCTTTATCATGTGCAACCTCAGATGTGCCAGAAGGGCACAAATTTAATACAAATTAATACGGAGTTCGCCAATCGCAGGGCGAGGATCGCGTATCATCGTGTGCGTTATCACACCTATTACCAACAGAAAGTAAGTTTTATGAAGGCAGATTGATTTTGATTGATTCATAGAGTTAAATTCCTCTCGGATAATATCATAAATCTTAGTAATAAAGTCATCTTTCAAAATAAACAAAATTGCGGTATTATGGGATTTATAATCAGTAAACTTGTCTCTATATAAAGGATGACCAGATTGTACAAGACATGCTGGAAGAGATGCAATATTACAACAATTGCATATAGTTTTGCGACCTTTGTACAACATCAACTATGCAATATAAACAATGTCTGTTTATGTTTGAATATTGAAATAATAAACGCGATATAAAGTTGCTTGCTAGGCTTAAATTAAAACAATGTTATGTCATGCACTACTGTAATTTGTAGCAATATTTACGACTTGGTCTAAAACTTGAAAGTGTACATCGCATCTTAAAATTTATTCAATTTAAACATTTACATCGATTTAAATATTACAATTCGTAAATAGAAGTAAATATTAAAATAAGTTAAAAAGGAAATTTACTTAAACTAATTAAAATCGCAGTACTTGGTTTAAAAAAATGGAAAATAGTAGAAAACACAAAAAAAAAAAAAAAACAGAAAAATAAAAAGAATTTTCATAGTAGAACGATTTTTTCCGTTAATTTTATCTTAGTCGAAAAGGATAAAATTATAATTCAACATTTAAAACCGTCTTATTATACCGGCTATTGTATTTTTCTTGTAATTCTTAGCGTATAATAATAAGTACTGTTAATCTCGTTTGTTCTGATTCTATAAATGATACTTAAACGTGTAATTTACTTGTAATTTAGTTTGCGATTCGTTGTGTCTTATCCGGTCGTCGTGGTTCTTAAATGTATCGTCTTGAAATAGCATTCGTCAATTCTTTTCTTTCTTTTTCTAACAGTTCTACTTCTGATTTTAGTTTAGATTTTTTTTCCACTTCCTGTAAGATACTTTTCAAAGCCTCAACAGATACTTCGTAGTAGGAATCTTCATAAATCCTAGCATTAACTCGTCCCTTGAAATAATAATAAATGATGTTATATTTTTTGCACCATATATATGTATATAAAGTAGTACAGATATTACTTTACAAACCCATTTGAATTTTGCCACGTGACTTGTAGGTAATAGAGGTCGCATTAAGACAAGAGAAAGTAATTAAGCCGTAAATAGGAGAAGTGACATGTGTATAGGTATAAAATCAAGGAGAATTAAAAGAAATATCGTTAGAATTAACAGGAAGAGAGATCGTTAGGATCGTTAGAATTAACAAAAAAATAAGGAAGAATAGGCTTAAATGTCGTTTCTCTATTTATCGGCAAGAAAACTAAAATTAAAGCAATTATTGTAAAGAAAATTTAATTATTAATTTGTTTAATAAATAAAAACTCTATTTATAGTGAAACCTATTTCAGTTTATTAATCCATAAGGAGTAGAAGAGCATTATATATATATAAAAAAATAAAAAAGCATACCTATGTAAATCCGAGACTATTTGTGAAGAAGGTAGAGTCGCGGATGGAGCAGGTGGAATACAGAGTTCTTCGTGCACAAAGGTGGAATGAGATTGTAAAGAAGGGGATAAAAAAGATAGTTGATGATCCACGCAACCTGGTGCAGGAGGTGGTTTCTTCTCAGGAGTTTTCAAAGATACACTAGATAGTGTTTTATCATGTAATAAATCCAGTCCAGGTATATTAATAACTTTCTTGCGTTTATTCTTTTTCACGTTTTTTCCTATTGATCTTCCTTTAATAGGTGGTTTCACTTTAACAGCATTTTCATTTTTTTTTTCTTGTTTCTTACGAATTTTAGTTTTTGATTGGCTACTACTTTCAGTATTATTTTTTTTAGTTTTATTTTCTTTTTCAAAATCACTATTACTTTTTTGCTGTTTTGAATTACTAGAACTACCTAAGTTTTTGGACATCTCTGGATATCTATCTCTGTCGCTTCTTTCACCTCTATTAGAAATCTTACTACTATTGTTGGCAGTGTTACTTATCACAGAATCAGAATTTTCGTCTAAGCCACCTTGTTTATTATTTTTCAAACGATGGAAATAACGTTCTAATTTAGTTCTATCGAAAATATGTACATAATAGGACACAGGCTTGCCCGTCCTTTAAACTGAACCATTGACACATGTACAATGGTACCAATATCAATGAATACAAATGTATCATTTTATTTATTCAATTATATTTGTCTATAATATAATGAAAAGTAAAAAAACAACTTACTTATTCTTAGATTTTAATACGTTATTGGAAAATTTAACAGACAAATCGACTTTAAGGATACTATCCAAGCACCATCTCTTAAGTTAGCAAATCTTTCCTTTAACTGATAATCTACAGTTGTTCGAACAGCAAAATTATTAACAAATACAATTTTAGCACCTGATTCCATCTAAAAACCTGCGAGAGACTACACTGAAGGCTAATTATATCTCGAGACTTGCCTTCGAAGAGAACTACTCTCTTGTGCAACATTCTATCATTAAAATACTACAGTCGACAAAGGACATAGGCAATCCTACACTTGGTAAGGATTTCTTCTGTATTTTGTATACGCATCTCATCACCCGATAGCTGCCGATAGGCAACAACCCATCGCATTTTCTACGGATTCATCGTGTTTAATTCAACCAGGGATTTTATGCCACAAGGCTTTCCCCAGACGAGCCAAATAAAGTGTACTCTTTAGTACTGATTGGGTTCAAAAATATTGGCCTTATTCTAATTATTTTCCTATCCCCATTCACACCAAATATACAATCTCGATTCAAACGTGACGACATTTTCTCTCACGATAAAAAACCACTGGAGTACCGATTAAGGCGTCGGTCGTAGACAATATGTGTGAAAGATATATCCTTTGCAGCATTTCATTTTCTGGGATTTTAAGTATTTAAAACGCGAGACTCCTAGCCAAAAAAAGTATTGTACGTGTAGGGCAAAGAGTATACTTTAATTTAAAATAAATTTTATTGAAATTTGACCACTGTAAGTATAAAAAATATTGTCGAGAACGTTCCAAAAATATGACAGCTATGTGTAAAATATATATACTTTGCAGCATTTCATTTTATGGGATTTTAAGTATTTAAAACGCAAGACTACTAGACTAGGAACAATATAAATTAATGTATCTATCAATATATTTATTATATGTATATATACTGTGAAAGGCATTTAAATGCCACCCTCGAATCAAAATTTTGACGTTTTTCTAAAATCCAATGGGAATCAAGATATTCCGGTGGTTTAAATCGTTTTCCTCCCGTCGCAAAAATGAAAATTTGTAATAGGAACACATGATGATAAAAGAGGTATTCGAGATACAGAGTTTGCCGCTGAAAACAAGAGCGCTGATTGGTTGATAATAACCA